ATGTAAATTTTTTCTGAAAATGTTTTGCAATATTTTGAAAATCGAGGCAAATTTTAGGAAATTTCAAAAAAAGAAATGGAAATGAAAATTCGAAAACTTGTGCATTACCTTCCACTTTTATTCTTCTAGTTTCATCCAACAGAAACATTTCGCAATATTTCAAGATCTATGCAAATTTCGCACACCAATACAATCTCGAGGTGATTTTCGAGACTCCATTCTTTTAAAGTTAGAAAAAAAAACCCTAGACGATTCTAAATAAAATTTCAGATTTTTATTTTTTGGATTCTCAGAAATATCAATTAGATTGTAATTCGATCAATGAAAGGCAAAAAAAAAAAAAAAAAAAAAGTAATTTGAACCGAGGATAATTGTTAGCAAACTGTTTAACCGTAGCGTAATATTTAAGTTATTAGCATAGGGGACTTTGCTACCGTTTGCGCGGAACGAGAAAATTACTCGACCGGTTTGTTGTAAAATGTTCCATTTAAAAAGCTCTCCCTTCTCCTTCCCCACAGTCGGCAAATCTACTAAAATCTCATACTAGCCGTCAATTAAGTGATATAAATCGCAACGCTTATTTGCGACCGCGAATGATTTTCTTGACGAGTTTACGATAGCAGGAAAGCGGTAGCCCCAGCTTACAGTTGATCCCAAAAGTATTCCCCAATGTTTCATACTTAGCATCTCTAAAATTGATAATGATTCGAGAAGAAACACGCGTGTCTGTAAATCGACAAACAAGTTGAATAAAATATTGATAAAAAGAATGGATTTTAATTTTCCTGACATTGCTAATTTTCTTGGAACTTGTCATTTTGTTTTAATTATACAGATAAATTTTGCAAACTTAATGTCAACTTAACTTATTCTTATTCAATCCATATAGAATCTAGACGTCGTTCAAAATGATGTTTCAGGAATGTAATAATACGTTAATACATTACATTGTCGCATCATTCGTCGTCGTTGCACTTGGGTATAATTTAATCTCTTACTTTTTTAAACGAATTTCTTGGGAATTACTTTTGGGCCTAACTGTACTAACGCACGCCTCGCTCTTATAAATTATTATACGCGCGTTATACCGTTCCCGGGAACCGTGGAAAGTGTCGTAAAATAGTTTCACCGAGGGCGCTTTTGATAAGGTTGATGGAACAACAGGCTATATCAGTCAAATCTATGGGCCCGTTTTCTCTCATTCACCGTGCGTGGGCGTCACGCGTAGCCTGTAATCTCGCAGAAACGATTCATTCTTGCGAGCGTTACACGCCAATAGCCGAGTCGATACACGTTGACGTGTTACGAGACTTTTGTAATTCGTGACTCATAAAATTTTATCCATTATTTTTTGACTTTTCTTTTTTACCGTATTTTCACGCAATGACGCGAAACGCGCGTGCGCATAGCCGGGATGCGCGAGACATTTAAATCACACGGGTATTTACGAGGAAATGGATACACAGATAAGGTAATAGTTAAGTTACCAAGTATTAGGTTGTTTCATTTATCAAGACCACCGGGGAGAAACTTGATAACTCACTATTTTTAAACACTCGTGATTCGAATTGTTACGTCTCAAGTTATATCAAGTACACAATTGACAATCTTTGAAATTTGTCGAGGCTTTTCAATTTTTCTAGCTTTTTACATTTCTGCGATTGTCCCATTTATACAAAGATTTTATATTTATCGAATTTTTCACATCAATATCGTTTCGATGTAACACTTTTAAGTATTTCAATGTTATTTATCGTTGAATCCTTAAATTTGTATAAGAAAAAATGCCTAAATTGTATATCAAAGATTGTAACGCATAATTTGCATTTTTACAATAAAATATGGTATTCAAATTGTAATATATATAATATGTAATATATATATGTAATATAATTGTAATATATGTAATTATAATATAATTATATATTATATATTATAATTATAATATAATTATAATATAATTAATTATAATATATAATTATATGTATATATAATATGTAATATATGTAATATATAATATGTAATATAATTGTAATATATATAATATGTATAATATCAAGGACAAAATTGACGTACAACGAATACTTAACCTACTTAATCACGTTTACTCGCTAACCCCATATTTTTTTTTTTAGAAAATTTATCGAGATCGGTCATTTTCGCACGCAAAAATCTAATAAAATCCCATACAAGGTAAAAAATATCTTCGATAATTTCCTGATTTCGTAAAAAAAAAAAATTGCGTAATATCCGGTGTACAAGGAGAATTAAGACACGAGACAAAAATAGGACACGCCGGGCGAACGCCAAACCTCGAGACTCGAACATAAAACCGACTCTCCGCATGCGATAAAGTTCGCGCTGGTCTCGGTTTATAAACCACCCGGTGAAAGGATAACAGGATTTTTCGCGAGCATCAACAGAATTCTCGAGAGAGAAAAATTTCTCGACAACCGGTGATCGATGAATCACGTTGAGATCCGCAAACTCTCGATTAGAATTGTGATTATCGATATATCGATAATATAGAATTTTTATTTTTTTCTCCTTCCAACTTATTATTAAGACGCGTAAAAAAGCTTTACCTATAATAAAGATAGATAAACTTTATTGGAAAATTATATATTGTAAATTTTATTTTGATCATTTCTATTCGCGTTATCGATATATTACGAACGATATTTTTAAATATATATCGAAAATAAAATGAAATATCGTTAAAAAAAAAATCTCCGTATTAAGATGTATCGTTAAGATAACGTCTTCTAACATATTGTAACTAACTTTGAATAGGGGAAAAAATTGAAATTCCAGTTATTTTTATCCATTATCGATATTTATCGATAACGATATCGATAGTCACAACTCTCGATGCGTGCGCGGTGGCAACGTGATTCGCGTTACGGAACGCGAGAATTATGTAATGGCGTCCCGTTTATTTAGAAGCAGTCCGCGAACTCGAGCAAATGTCGCGCGAGGAACGATAACGGTTGGCGAGAAAGAGGCGTAACAGTTTACGTGGATAAAACGACAATCTTTTACGCGTGGTTATTTTACAAACTGACGTATATCTCGAGCTAGATCGGAAACAATGACCCGACGAGTGAAATTTACAAACTCGACTCTCGAGAATCGTGCGCCAATTACTTCTCACGCTACAAATTGCGCTACGTACGTTTATATCGCGTAAAACATGCCTTTGCCGATTTGCTATTTCGTTCATACAACATGATCTTCGTTTGGAATGATCGATCGGAAAATTGTGTTCGTGTGCTCGAATATATAAGTTAGATTTCGGGATAAAAAATATTTTTTTCTATTCTAATTAGTAATCGATGAATGCGTATAAATATATTGATATAAATGATAGATACTAGTTTTGAGTTCGTATGTAACCCATTGATCCAAAAGTATTTGAAATTTGATATTTTTGATGTATTTAAATTAGCTTAGATTAAGTAAGGTTAGATCAAGCTAAGTTATTGGTATTATAGAAAACATTGAAAGTTATCAGTTGGATAAGATCAACTTGATAATATTAGACTATTCTTTTTTCTTTAAATTTACTATATTTTCCGATAGCATTCGATAGCATCGATAAATAAAACTGAAGTAGATCAGGTTTTTTAATTGATATTCAACGAATAAAGATGAATTAGATAACTTTTGAATCAATATATTCCTATATATATATTTCTAAATTTGCTTTTATTTATCAAATAATACCGAAAAAAAAATTTCAAAGACAACGAAATCCAACCATCTCTCCAACCGAGTACAAAAAAACAATCCGTGCATGATGCAACAGACAGGAAGAAAGGAAACCGCGCTGAATTGACCGTCATTTCGATAAATACACGCTGAACAACGAAATGATCGTAATTTTCGAGACGAGCGAGGAGCGAAAGAGAATCGACGTAGCACACTTACAATTCATTCGTTTCGCTTATATATATATATATATATATATATATACATCTCCATTTATTCATTATCGAATTCATCGCGAGTCTCTAACGCGAATTGTCGCGGGATTTCGCTTTTGACCGCTCGGTGGGGAAGCAGGTAGGTAGGTAGGTCTCGAAAGGGATAAAGGGGAGCGGGGAGAGGGCCTGAGGGCCTTCTCGATACGCGACAGCGTATGGAATGCGAAAGCGTGGGTTCGCCTCGGTTCGGCTGAAACGCGATCTCGATCCACATCGAGGCGGGCAAGGGCCGCAGGCTAAATACGCGTGCGCAACGGTACTCCGCTCTGATCGCCTCTCGAGAACGTAAAGCCGCGTTTGCATTAGGCAAACTTTGATCGATCGAGCAAAAATAGACGAATAGGTTATACGTGCGATTGAAGGATGGGAAAAGTTGGTTCGATTGTTGGTCGATATTGATGAGTACACGGAACCGAACAAACTGATCGTTCAATCAAAAGTAACTCTCTATTTTCGATTCATCTGATCCTTCGATCAAAAGTTTCTTCATGTAAACTTGGTGGAAACTCGATACGTTCCTCGATGCGTATGTATGTATGTATGTATGTATGTATGCAGCATGTGTACGTATGTGTAACGTTTTAAAAGAATTTTCTCGGTCTGTTACGAGGACATTAAGAGGCATTTACATTAATTTACGGACAACTCATTCACAGTGTTATTGAATCATGCGAATTCATTTATTATCGAATGAAAGTTTCAGAAATAGATCGAAACATTAAAAAAACAAAAAAATATCAAAATTATGAATATACGAAAATTGTTCATCGTAGTATGAAGGTACGATTGGTTTGATTAAAAATTTCAACAATAATCGAATTATCGAATCGGGTAAGCAAGTTGTTTCGAATTGCATTTCTAATTTGATTAATTCTGTACACATATATGTGGCGTCGTGTAATTTGATATAGGTTAACTTAACTTACGTTTTACGTAATAATCTTTTTACTATCAAGATTTTTACAACTTGTGACGTCAGACATAAATAATGCATATCCACTTTCTCTCTTCTAGGATACCACCATTAAAATACAGGCTAATAATGGGACTGTCTGAAGATTCATATTTTATCTTTCATAATCCGCGGATTGTCCGCAGGCGATTATCCGCCAGTGTAGAACAAGCCTTACACGCACGCAGCGAGAACTCGAAAGAACTGGAAAGTGAACGAGAGATACGTTGTTTCCCTCGCGGCGTTCATTTGCCGGAGGAAAAGGAGGGAATATGTAAGTACTTTCTCCTGAATCCGTGGCATCGTCTCATCATTCACACGATATCATCTTATTCTAAATTAATAGAAATTAATAGATATTAGAAATTAATTAATAAATTCGTATGCTCTCGTTGTTTATTGATAACAGTAGAATAATGTTGAGAAAGGGAACAGATTGTAGCACAATTTTCCTAGAAAGGAAAATTTGAGAAAACTTGATTTTTAAATTGTCTGATTCATTGATAATAAGTGATTGATCTGAAAGAAAGAATGATAAATAAATGATAAATAGGAAAATATATTGATCATTACCAAGCTTGTAATTATACACATTACAATCAATCTAATATACAGCAATAAGATTACAAGATTGGAATCAAATATTCCAAAAAATTATTTTATCCACTAATTTTTCCACGAGCAATTAAGCAAGCATTACTGTAATTCCATTACATAACAAAGGATAGTTTCGAAGAGAAGTTGTTCCATCTGAAAACCAATTATTTTTAATAGGTATAACGATATTCAAAATTGCATTATGGACTATTTTGAATGGATTCTAACCCTTCGAAGAGGGAGTTGAATGAGATGGCCCGGAGGCAGGTTGCTAAAGTCCCCAGAATGCACGAATGACTGACTTAACTGGAGTGGATAGAGAGCGTCTGGGTCCATGGGTCCATAAATAGACGTTACCACTTACCATCAATTCAAAGAGAGCACAAGATTCGCGGAGCTTCGAAGCGAATAAGTGAACATACGTACGAAAGCCTCGGGCGCGTCACGAAGCGGCACCGATAACCAACTGCCACCCAGTGGCGTAACTAGTCTTTTCAAGGTCGACCGATGAGCACTACCAATTTCGTACATACGCCTCGTACCGTCCCGTGCCGTTCACTTTAACCCTTCACAGCCGGGGTGAAAACAGCGGTTATGTAATTGAATAGGGTGGAGTCAATTTGCCCTCGAGCAAGAATAAAAAGCACGCATTTCGTTTATAATTCGATCGCATTCGAATCAGATAACATAGAGCTAATGCTAATAAATATGATGTAAAACAATATTTTCGCATGTAAGAAAAATTAATCTTGATATCTAAAGGTAGAATGATAATTATATTTAAAAAAAAAGATAAAAGTTAAAATTTTATTAATTAAAATAACAATGGTAATACTGTAATTTAATTAATTAATGAAATGACAAATAGTCGTAAAATTTAGTACGTAAAAGATTCTGACAATATTAAAATATATAGTAGAATTGATAAAAAATAAATAAATTTTTCGTGTGACGAATGAACCAAAAGAATGTATCATATCGCGAATCGTTCAATTTCTAAGAAATAAATTGATTCGCTAGATTGTAATAATAGATAGGACAGTGCATTGATCGCAATCACGCATTGCACGATAGAGTTGAAATTTGACGCTACGCCGGTGACTATTCAGAGTACCACGACCCCTGATTACGAGGATCGCAGTTAATCGTTCCTAATTTATGTCCACCGACTGCACAGCTAGTACATACGCGCCAGAGAATATTCCAAGCGAGGGAAATGACCAGCCACGCTGACTGGAAATGCCAGGAGAGCACTATTTCCGGTATAAAATATCGTTGCAACTCTATAATTTCTCAAAAATTTCCAGACGTTAATACGTTTCAAAGTCCAGCCATGACTCATAGCGTAAACAATTAATTCGCGCTTAAGCGAGTAAATTGAATTTTATTCTCGGCCGAGATGCCATTTTTTCTCTCGAAACAAAAAAATTTAACCGCAAATATATCAATTTCCCGTATTTAATACCATTCGTATTTCGTTTGTTCATTGTTCATAATATATCTCTTAGTACAATATCGTGTACGTTTTACTGAAGAGGATCGTAAATTTTTCTTTATATTTTATTATGAAAAAAATAATGGATGCCTATTTTCCATCGAGTCATATTTCAACGAGCGTTTATCGGGCCATCGATCGCTGGATCCTCGATGAAACGATCGCTAAGCGAAACGGTTATGGCTCCAGATAGTTGGACATGCTCGATTTGCCAGGCCCGTAATAAAGCAGTAGCTCGCATGCACGGTTGGACTTTATAAAGCGAAGACGTCTCGACGACTCGTTAGCGGGTGGACTTATTAAGTGGCTGCTCGTTAACGACACAGAAAAAGAGATAAAGAGAGCGGTCGTTAGCGTACAGCAGAAGGGATACATACCGGAATACTCGCCATTAAGTCCGATGTATCGATAAGTTATTCGCGAATAAGCAAAAATATTAATTGATATGTCGAAAAGAAGTCATGGTTACGCTTCGACTCGACTTTACGAGAGAACATAAAAATAAAAATCTAAAAACCGAATAATTACAATAGTTTAGGTAACAAGTACTGCCGTAATTATATTTTAAATATGCTCGGTTATATTATTTTATAATGCTCGGTTAAATTCACACTACTGACTCGATCCTTCTCCTCGGTAGACGAGGAAAGAAAATAAATATTAACAATGAAAATTTAACTTACGATTAGTTAAATTTAATCGGATACTACTATGCTCTTTTTCTTTACGATTCTTTCATAAGTCATAATCTTACCGATAACGCGCCGCGCCAAATCACGATTTCGCACGGTCTCCGGTTAAAAAAATCCTTGAACTCGTTTATAGTATCGATGGCTCGAGCGTATTCGCGCGCACGAACCGCCATTCGGCCGAAGCAGTAATTGATCGGCACGAAGTCTAACACGCGGCATTACATAAAACCCGTTTAGGCGGCGCATGAGTCTGCCTTATCCTCTCGGTCAATGCCATGCAGCGTTAAGGCGAATACAAAGATGGTATCTGCCGGTTAGCCGTGCGACTTCTCTCTTTTGCCTTACCTTGACCGTTCGAGTGATTTTGCTGGGGCGACTGCGGCTGGCCCTGCGTCAATATAATTTGACTCTCCAGTTGTTGAAGCTCGGCCTGCAGTTCGTTCAGCTTACTATTCGACTTTTTCACGATCGTCGCCACGTCGGAGAGCGCTTTACGATCGGTCGCCACTTCTCTCAGCTTCTCGGCGCCGGCCTTTATCTTCAGCTCCTGCAACCAAACAGCGACCATATACACGCATATTTCTCGTCGTTTTATGGCGAGCCTTTTGTGTTACACGACGACTGCGTCGAAGGAATAAATACGTATTCGCCACATAGTTCGACGATACACCGCATAGATGGAACCACATAGAAAGGGCGGAATTTCGCTTCACAGAATTCGTTCGGCCGCCTATTGTTATTATCGATCTATCAATCGTTAGAGCGCGTCGATACCACTCCTCTCCCGAGGCAAATGAGACGTAAAATTATATCAGGCTTCATGAGTCCTATCCTTTCATTCTATTACCTTCTATTATATTCCCTGTAACTTTTACTCGGCGAGCACACCTGACAGGGAGCTATATCTTCTAATCATGACTGACCCGTGAATAATATTTGCGAGCGGCATGAAATGATTACTAGGTTACCAGTAGGAAAGCGAGATTGGTACGTGAAATGTTTTACTTATTTCGCCTAGTATGATTTATAACTGTTTGTGTATAAGATTTGAACACGGAGAAGATGTTACGTAAATAAAGATAATGCACGGCACTAACTTATGATTGCATTGATATGAATTGTACAAATATATATATATATATATATTTTTATAATAAAGTAAGTTCTGATTATTATGAAATCATTTCGATGAAATCACGAGAATATACGTTGAATGCTTCAAATCCAAATTGAATTACTGTAATATTTAAATACATTTAAATATTTTTTTTTCAAATCGTGTCAAAAATGCTAATATATCTGAAAATATTTTTCATGATCTTTCAAAGTTATTACACACAGGGATATTTTAATAAATCTTTCGAATACGATTTCTAACTATTATATATCATCTCTATTATATATCATCTTACTTCTAGTTATTAAGATTCATAATTATTTTTCCGCTAACAGTTATTGCGTTGAGAGTAATAATTTTTATTTTTTTATTCTTGAGCGATCATTCGCAACCTAGTGTTCCCTAGCAAAAAATATTCCCTAGCGAGAATAACTTTGGAGAACTTTCGAATGAATTTCAAACATAAATCAATGGAGATTTTAAAAATGATAAAAAAAAGGATACAAATCCATTTGAAAGTACGTAATAAAATTCTCTCTCGAGTAGCGCTCGAAATTATTTTTCGCTAGGGGACACTAGATCGTACTAGATGACTAACCGATAAGTAACTTTCACATTCAACGCAGTATCCTCTAGCGAAAAATAATTCTCGAGAGTAATTCTCCTTTATTCCCAAATGTGTTCTCACTCGAACAGACACTCCTGGCAGCACCTCGAGTCACGTTAAAATATTAAAACCGACTCGTTATTGATTTACGATCAACGAAAAGGTAACGGGGGCTCATAATTTCTTATCTCATTGCTGGCCCGCGAAAGAGATGAAGAAACCTCTCTTTTCTCTCTTTTCCCCCTCCTGGGGAATAACCATAAATTCTGGCCAGGATCCATTAGTCACGTGGATCGTGCCGGTTTTCAACGGGCGTGCCATGGATCGACGGTGGCCTGACACATATCGGATTTCTCCGTTCCTCTCCCCCTCAAGAGGAACAGAAAAGGATAGATAAAACGATCGAGAGGATGCGCGTTAGGGAGAGCGAAGAGAGGAACAGCGAAAGGATACTCTTCTGTCGTGCGAGGGATCGGTGCTGCTCGCGCGAGCCATGCTACCGTGTATATTGCGGTGTACGGAGAAAAAGAGAGAGAAAGAGAGGTTCGGGGAAGAGGCGTAGTGCGGAGAAGGACAAACGAAACTCGACATACCTTGCGTATTTCTCGGCGTATGTGCTCCCGGAGCTCGTCGAGACGAGCCGGCAAGGGCACCTGGTCACTGCTAGCCACTCCATACTTGCTCGACAGTTCGTACACCGGGTGCCTGATGTAATCGCCCTGGAACAGATTTCAAATTCGATTATTCGAACGTTATGCTATTTCTTTCTCTATTCTTTTTTTTTTTTTTTCCTTCCTTTATATTATATTATATCGTGCAATGCGAGTATTAAAAAGATGATAAATTAGAAGGTTTTAACCATTTTCCAGATCAATTTATCAGTGTATATTACGTTGCTCTAATATCGTGATTGGGCAATATTTAATCCCTAAAGCTCGTTTTTTAACACGGTCGATTAAAGTTCGACGATAAAGTAACGAAATTAAGTAACAAAAATGACGCGAGTTTGAATCCAGATATTATTTTCGACCCGCCGTTAATGTCGTTGCTTTTTTTTTATACGACGTAACGAAGCACGAATAATTTAATCATATAAAAAGAGAATAAATTTTTTCCTGTTTAAGGTGATAATAAACGCCTTCAACGTCGACCTACGTTCCATTTCCACGTTTAATCCTGGCAATGACATTTACATTTTTCAGGGAACGTCGAAGAAAGAAGGATGAGGCTGGGCTTGTGAATTTGCGAGGGAAAAACATCGCGGAATATAATACACGTTCTCTCGTGCGCGGCCGGAAATTGCCTGGCGCGTTGCGGCGGATGTGCACACCGCTGTCTACTCGGAACAACCACGGTTATAAACTCGCGGTGAGTCGCGGGAAATATTGATCTTAAAATAAAGTATTCCGCTATATATCTTATATATCCGTTAACAGTCTAATTAATGACCGATTCTATATTTAAATTTTTCGAATTTGGCGATCGAACGTAAGACAATGATGACTCAGACCAATTTTGGTGGCGCCATCACGCTATCTTGATTTTACGTATATAAGTATATATATATATATATATATATATATATAGAATCAAAAATAAAGGATTAATATTATCGAAAATATATATATATATATATATATTTAGAATCAAAAATAAAGGATTAATATTATCGAAAATATATAATTAAAATACGCAAAGAAATGATTTGTTATATTTCTCCTTCCTACGCGTTCGATTTTATTTGTTTTAAATAAATATTTATATAACATTGTGGTCGACATGTCTGTTATGAAATTAGTTGACTTATCAATGGCACGTGTTAGACATTTATATCGATGCAACCTACGAAATTGTTTAAAGGCATTAAAAGCGTACCATGTATGGTTCAATGCAGCTCCATCGTTGTTTGGGTTTGCTCGATTTTCTTACCGATAAACACCGACACGTATTCGGCTTCTTATACTTGTCGTGTAAAGAAATGAACGACATTGTTTGAATTTTTTCTATTTTTAATCTTTTAACGGATTTTCGTCGAAATTTCTCTTCAGTTTTTGAAATTAAATATATTCACATTACTTCACATGAAACCGTATTCCAATTCACATTTATATCGCACTCTAGTCCAAGGAGATCACAAAGGTCATTAACTTCTGCCAGCACAAAAAAAAATTTGACGATTTACATAATTGGAAAAACGGAAATGGATAAATAAGATATTAATATATATGATCAATCTTTAAAATGAATTATTCCTCGTTGGTAACATATTTGGTTAGAATCTAGATTGCACTCTTCAACCACCTGTTGCGACAAACCGCGGTATATGAACCTTATCTTCGTGACGAACTTTAAATAATCTCACAAATTCAATGTCTTTTCATCACATCGATATGAATTTTTTTGAATTTTCATAGATCGACGGTAATTCACGATAATTATATATAAAATAGATCTATGATGGACGAAATGTACGTGACTGACTTGTGGATTTCTATAGACTGACTAAAGACTTTGCCGATGTTTTATCTCTTATCGTACTGCGATAACAGTGTTGCGACTTTCTCAAGTAACAGCATTAATCATCTACCTCGTTACAAATCTGATTATACATTTAATTTTTCGTTTAAACTTACTATATATTTGTTATATGATATAAAAGAAATTGTGTATAAAATCTTAATAATCTATATATCCTCCACTGCAAAGAATATATGCGAGTCAGGAATATTCTATTTTTGCAGCCGTTTATTTGCGAGACTGATACATCTACAAATATTTAAGTTTGAAATTTTAATGGTGGTAAATTCGAAAAATAATATACGTTTATATATTCTCAATGAAAATGTGTAATTATTAATAAACATATTCGTTGATATAACTGAGATTACATAGAAATTATTTGGGCTCCTCTTAATCTCTTTTCAAAAATTTCCGCCGTTCGAGACAATGTGAATCATTGATATTATATATGTTATTCACGTTATTCTTAATCTCTTTTTAAAATTCCCACCACTCGATGTAATTTAAATTATTACGAAATTACGCATTATTTATTACAAACATATTATGTTGAATTTCAATATTCATAATTAACTTTACTTTATTTGGCAAAATTAAGGATAGGACGAGAGACTTAGAAAAAAATTTGCATCAATAGTTTAAATCGTGCAACGATATAAAAACTTATATAATTCAGAAATTAGACACGATTTTTACGAGAGAAACAAAATCGGGTAGGTAGAATTGAAAGAAGCAACGAACCCTTAACAAACGTATGCATCTCAGTTGTATATGTGTTTGACACACTGACGCATGAGCTATTTTCATGCATTCCGTAATATGTGTGCCATGCATAATAATCTCGAGAGGTCAATAGTCGTCACAAGCATTGTAACAAGAACATAAAAATCATCCGGTGATCAAAACATTTACAGCTTCATCGATATTGAGTTGACATAGAACAGATCTAAATATTATAGTAAGATGAGATAGTTTAAAATCGTTTGTGTTTGTAACGTTCATATACAATCGTGAAGTAAAAATATTGTTTTAAAAAATAATAAAAATAATAATCAAGAAGTTGTAACATAGAACGCAGCAATATCGTTAATGAAAAAGTTTCGCCCTTCAAAAATTATAACCATTTATGTTATGATTAATCGTTACAAAATAGAATTCGAGATCAGTATAGCGCTGTGAGGTGTACCATTTTATTTTTAGGTTACGCACAACGAAAAGCATCTGTTAGCAAATTGCGAAAGTGTCGTATATCTAGTAAAGTTGAACAAATAAAACTGTATAATAATGATTATAACTGCATTAATAAATTTTAACATGCGAATTTAAATCGAATAAAAGAAATTTTTCATATTTCGTTATCGTGCGTAAACAAGGTCAAAATTCCTTGAAAATATGACGAATTATATTTTATTGAATATATATACAGAAAATATAATGTAATCTGAAATTTGATCAATGTAAATCTTTTGTTAGAAAAATATTCGATACCAAAGTTTAAAAGAATCGGTAATCGTAAATATAAAATTTGACAATGATGCGTTAAAAGTATCTGCTATAATGGAGTTTCTATACAATCATGTTCCTGTCAGAAGGATTCTTGGCCGTTATTCGACTATACTTTTGATAAACGTATTCGAACTGTACACCTATGCTGGTAATGTCAGGAAATACCACTTGCCGATAGGAACAGGTGCTACCAGAAACTATATAGAAACTTGTTGGAAATACAGTAAAGGAATTTAAGCAGAGATATACAATCTATCTATCTTATTTAATATAAATTAGGCTAAAGATATTTAAGATAGTTTAAGAAGAAATCACTGATCATCGTCATCTTCGAAAAACGTTCGCGGAATGTGTAGAGATAAGTGCGAGCGTGTTGTCGGCGTAAGATCGCGAAAAGAAAAAAAGTAATATGCAAACTGTTTAAATTATATCCAAAGCAATCTTTTATTATGGCGGCTGGAATCATCAGTCGGGTAGCGACCAACGCGGACCAGTTCGTAAAGAGAGCGTGGATGGACCTGCGACTCACCTGATAATAGCTTGATTCCGCCATCTTGGACACTATACTCCACTCACTCACTCACTGCTTTCTATCCGTCCTTTGTGTATGGAACGACGAAGTCCATTGTGTTTACACGAGCAATGAACGTTACACTACCGATCTGGTTGGAAGTGTCTGCATTTTATATATTACCACGCACGTTCGATCTTAGAGACGAGATGTTTTGAATGTAAATCTTTGGATAGAAAACGACAAAAAATTACTACCACAGAGAAATATGAATGAAAGACGCGCGGCTCGCGAACAAAATGCAGACACGAGCGCATTCCACCGCACCAGACTGAAGACTGACGGAAAGTGCCGGGCCAATCGTGGCCCAAAGGCGCGCGCACTATACTTCCACCGCTATCGCTAAAGCTGCGTTCACGATGTCACTTTTACATCATCTTACTGAAACAGCTTTTGTTCATTGGTCGATTCCGATAGAACAGATAAAATAACTAATCGTGTGGAAACTTATACCTTGCAAAAACAATAAAAATATAATCGAAGAGAATTGGATATAACCATATTGAATTAACCTATAAATTTCTTTACTATTTTTTTAACAAAAAATTTTTAATCGGTACAAAAATAAAACCGTTTCTTTATATAAGTTAATAAATTTATTCAAAATTATATTTTACAATCATATATTATTTACACATTTAACTTTCATATAGTTATATTTAAAAAATGTTTTTTCAATTTGCATTTAAACCGAAATCAATGTTTGTAAAAGATCCTCGGGAGTTCTTGAAAATAAACTAGTTGCATTTTGATACAAATTTTTTGGATCATGACAAGATTCATATAATTGTTTATAAATAGCTCCAATAACTTCAAAAGAACGTTTTTGTACTATCGAGCGATGATTACTGCTTTGCAATAAACTTATTTGTGGCAATAGCAATACATCTGGCATTACTAAAAATGCTTCCAGTTTGTTCTATAATATATTAAGAATTTGATATAAAATTAATGTATATTTTTCATCAATTAATAGATAAAATAATGATTACATACTGTAAATTCTTTCACACTTAAAGGATCCATTCCAGGAATAGAGGATAATGGACCTTGTTCATGACCTTGTAAAATAGTATAAATTGAACCAAGATTTAAATGTGCTACTAATGAGCTGGCTTGTTCTGATGTAAGAGTGTCTATTTGTGCATCAGATTGTGCCTGAAAAATATTATTTTACAATTATTTTAACAATAATGTATATAAAAAAATTCGTATATTAAAACGCTCCAATTACCTGTAATCTTTCTAATCGTTGATCCATATATTCATACAATGCTAAAGTAGATTGTATTTGATGCATACAATTTAAAAGATATACAGCCATGTCTACTGTAGGTAATCTTGATGCTGTTTCATTAACTTCTTGTAACAGAGGATCAATAATACACGATACTATCTGTAAATTATTTGATTTGTGAAATTAAAAATATATTTGATTTTATAAAATAATTAAATATAATGTGATACAAACCTGCAGCATATCTTTCTCTCTATCTTCTGCAATACTTACTACAGAAAGAATTTCATTGAGAAGTGATAATAATCTGGAAACAGATGGAGCAGGTACTAAATCATTTCCCGGAGGTTCTGCGCGTTCGCCAAGTGCAATACGCGTCTCCTTTTGAAGTCTACTTAAAAAACTTTTTTCGCTTAATGTTAATAAATCTGTTAATGTTGAATCTAAAATACTATCTGGTATTACTTGTTGAATTATCATGTGATAAAATCTAAGAAGAGTTGTAATAGAATATAATAATGCTGCTGGTACATCTATAGATATAACATTTTCTATTCTTGATTTTAAAGGATGACAAAGTCCATCTGTGATATTACTTAAAGATTGTTTAATTTGATCTGATAAATCTAAAATATATAATAAAAAATAAGAAAAATAAAAATAAAAGAGCAATCATTTAATTTTTACCTGTTTTATCACAGCCTTTTACTAAAGTAAGAATATTTTCTTTTTCAACAGGAATAACTTGATGAAGCCAAGCAAGCATATCACCAATATATCTTTTGGGATCATTTGCATGCATTTCAATAGGATTAGGTGTACTACCATATATTTCTCCTAATGTTAAAGCATCTATGAATGAACCCACTAATATAGTTCTTCTTGCTGCACAATATTCATCTAACACATATCTAAAAAAATATAAATAACTATAAATTGTTTCAGACAAATAATGTTATATTTAGATATGAAATTCATACTTAAATAAAACTGGTCTATCTTGTAATTTATTCATTGCTTTAATTAATAATGGTGCTAAACGTTCATTTTCAATATGTTTACATTGATTTTGTGTCCATCTATATAGCCTTTCAAGAGCTGCCTCTTGCAACAGAGTCATCCTTTGCATAATATCTAATCCTAATGTTTGATATCCTGATTGCATTAATATTCTACAACTGCTATGGATTTCCTACAATTTAAATAAATTATTATTAATTCATTTTTGATTGAAATTTTTTTTATAAATATTATACCTGAACACGGTTAACTACAGAAAAAAACTCTTCTGTAATAGGTGATTCCCTGGTAGAACCATGTAAAATATTTTGTTCAGATGAAGTCAATTGAAAATTTTTAATAAATGCATTTGCAACTTCTTGTTGCATAGATAAAGTTTGACTAAAAATATTAATATTTCATGTATTTTCTTTTTTTAAATAAAAATTTACTTATTCAGTAAATATACCTTTTATTTTGAAGTTTTGCAGTTTGATCAATAAGCTGTGATGTTTGTGTTTTTGTAGTTTGTAAACGATTTGTCATACATTGAACTGCATTATTCATAGCTAAAACATCTTGATATATGCCGTCTAAAGAAGATTTTACTTCTCTAAAAGCAGATAAAAATTCTTCATTTATAGCAAGACTTCTTCTTTCAATTTTACTACGTAAATTTCTACGAGAATTTAATGTATTTTCTGTAAAGAACGTGGATAATTCTTTTAAAGCTTCTAATGTATCCTAAAAGAGAATGTTTATTTTTTATTAAATACATATATAATTACAATATAATATAATATAAATACCTTGTCATTCTCAACTCTTGATTCAAGCAATTTATTAACCCTTCGAACTAAAGTATTATTAGTGTTTTTTTCGCCCATGTTAAATATCTTATTTTTTTACACTTAAATTCATCGAAATATATAACCTATTTTTTGGAAAATGTCACGTAGCAAAAGTATACGCATAGCTACGTATATAGAATTTATAGAATACCTACTCATCTATATATTGTCATCTATATGCAATTGTAACATTGACTTTAAGAAGATATCAAAATGCTGACTTCTAAAGTAATTAAACTTTGAAAGATTTATTTTTTAAATTATTTATTGAATATAATATTTTTCAAATTGGTGTATTAAAATTAAAAATATTAAATCGATATTAATAAAATTAATTATATATATAGAAAAAACAAAAAATATGATAGAAAATATTTCATTTTTTTGATTACTTACTAAAGTTAGGCAATTTGAACTTTTGAAGTTTAAAATATCAGTAGTAAATTAGAAATTCTGATACATATCTATTTTCAAATTTAGTTTACCATCTAACTTATTACAATTTCGCAGAAATAATATATTTGCAAACTTTCAATATGTCATAGCAATTTTCGTATTATTCCGTTTATTAAATGAATTTAAACTTATAAAATATGTAACATTTTGTAAAAAAAACTCATAAATTATGATATCATTGCGAATATAGTATAGATAGAAAAAAAAGTTATAAAATTGTATATTATATTTATTTATTCATATTGAGGTTAGTGTTTTCTTTTAATTGTAACATGTAATACTGTATTGTTATTGTTAGAATTTGAAGTTAAATTTTTTAGCATGTTATTATAATATAAAGTTATTATAAATTATTATTTATGTTGTTCTTTTATATTTTCTTCTTTACTTTTTGTTGTATTTATAAAATGTTTTATGTTTATATTTTATTTTTTTTTATGTATATAAATATGTTAATTATTTTTACATACAATTTTAAATAGATTTACATGCAATTAAAAAAATAATATTTATTGCATCAGTCCACATTATTTTATTATATGTTTTCATAATAATTTTATTTTAATTTCTTTTTAAGTATGCATGGTTTCATTTAATTTATTGGTGGTAAAATGTCCACGTCAGAATCTGGTGTGGGATGTATTAGTGAAGTAACACTTGCAATTAGTAAAGCAAAAGGTTCTCAATCAGGCACTGTTAGAGCATTGGATAGTCCGGACTCTGATGGATCTGGACATTCAAACTCATTTACTGTGCAACGGTTTAACTATTCTAATAATGATAGTGCAAACTCAGATATTTTGCACCCTCCATTAACTAGTGATGATTTAAGAATACCAATTGTTGGATATGAAGTTATGGAAGAAAGAGCTAGATTTACAGTTAGTTGAAATGATCATTTTCTTATAATTATCTATTAATTTCTTTTGTCTATACTAAATATACAACAATATTCAGTAATTATTTTTCAGGTTTATAAATTACGAGTAGAATTAAAAAATGGAGATTGTTGGTTTGTATTTAGAAGATATACAGATTTTGTTCGTTTATTATCACAATTAAGAAGGCAGAAAATTCCAATTTCACAATTAAGCTTACCAAGAAAAAAATGGCTTGGTGATAATTTTGCACCAAGCTTTTTAGAAGGAAGAATACGCGGTCTTCAAGCATTTGTTAATGGAATATTAAGCAGTCCTCTTCTCATAGGAACTGCATGTGTGAGAGAATTTTTTTGTTTAGATGAACCACCTGCTTTATCTGATACTGCAGAAGAATCTAGAGTAAATAAAATTATATATATATATATATATATATTATTAACTTTTACATATATATTTTATTATTATATTAATTAAAGTAAATTTATATTCTTTTTTTTTTGCAGGCAATTTTTGAAGCATTAGAAGATACTATATATCATTTAAGACAGCAATTAAAAGAAAGAGATTCTGCTCTTGCAGCAGAAACAGCTTTATGTAATGAATTTCGCAAAAAATTACATCAAATATTAAGGTAAATAATATGATTAAACATAAGTAAATGATATTTATAATAATAAGTATCAAAATTATAATTATTATTTCAGTGAAAGACAAACTTGTCCAAAATGTGGTGCATCTCAGTAGCAGTTTCTTATAAACTAGAAACTTATAAATTGATATTGATAAAATATTTTATGCAAAGACTAGTATAAATAAGCAGTTTCATTTCTGGTGTTTGAATTGCTATAATATAAATAATTGTTATTCGTTGAAAATGTATTTAGAGTATATTTTATGCATTTCATTACGCATTTTTGTTCCACTAATTTATACTTATAATTTATACTAAAATAACTTAATTTTTATGCAAAATATGTAAGATGTATATAAAATTCTTAACATATATATTAACAATAAGTACATTGAGCTTTCTTAGTATTAAACTTATAACTTTGTATGTAATTTTTTGAAGCCTTATACAGGTGCCTTATACAACTTTAATAGATAAATATTGTATATGTCATATATATAGTCAAAAAGTTGACAAGTAAATATTTACATGATTGTAAATGTTTACAATTTGACTACGAATATATGCCAAAGTATGTTAATCTTTGGTATTTTATAAAATTCTATGTATTTTGTAATATTTTACATCGTATAAATAATGATTACGTTTGTCGAATTATAATTGATATTAATAGTATTTATTGTCATCATAATACTGAAATATTGATATTATTGTAAACTTTGATATTACAGTATTGTGATATTTAAAGTATATTTATGTAAAGATATAATAAATACTTGACATTTCCATTAATTATATTTTATACTTATTACATATCATAATTAATATTTATTATATCTTTGTAATTACATTATTAAATATTTTACAATACTGCACAAATATAAAAATTTGTTATACATTATAAAAATTTTTAATTAAAAAATGTAAAATGAATAAATTTAATATTGTTATCCTTTTAATAATAATAATGGATATTAAGAGATTTAAAAATATCTCTCAATTGAATTATTAAATATATTTCAACCTCAACCATATCATATAATTTAAATGGTCTTATATATAATTAAAATGTGAAATGAGAAATTATTTTTCAGTCTTCTTTATCTGGAGCAACAACAAGGCATAATACCTGGATCAGGTACGTGATTTTCGCTGAAAAAAAAAACAGATTACATATAGAGGCAAGATAAGTAATTTTATTAATCTATACAAAATTTTTTTTTATACTTACTTGCCAAACTACTTTTAATTTTTTTATACACGTACGTATGATAAACAACAATGCCAAGAAGAACAAATAACAATGCAAACAAGTATTTCGGTGTTGGTTCGTGCACGATTGGTGTTACAGCCAAGAAAATAGAAACTCCTAATATTAGCCAAGGTACTACAATCGGTACCGCGTATGGTCTCGATGCATTTGGTTTCGTTCGCCGCATGATTATTAATGATAACATGGCAAATCCATAAAATACCCATGTTAAAAAACTTGCAAATTCGATAAGTGCGATAATATCTCCCGTGAGCAGATAAAGTAGCGTAAGTAATCCTTGAAACGCTACTGCCGCAGCGGGAGTCATTTTTTCGATATGTACGAAGCTGAAAACTCTGGGTACGTGGCCTTCACGACCGGCTACATAGCAGAGTCTGGATACTCCGAATTGAATACTAAGACTACATCCAAAAGTAGATATTGCAACACCCAAAGGTATCACAAAGCCCAACCAGGAAGGTAAAACTTTTTTCGCCCAGAGAACTGCCACAGCTGGCGCTCTTACCATTTCAGGTATCGTTAGAGCAGCCATGTACATCAAATTCATTGAAACGTATAAAATAGTGATCAAAGGTACACCGATTAAAATACTCCTGAGAATATTAATTTCCGGTTTCTGAATCTCTTCCGTGACGATTGCAGCGGAAGTCCATCCATCGTAAGCCCATAATCCACTATAGAACGCTAGCGCCACGTTGCCTGCTGAAGTTGTAGTGCCATGAAACGGTTTCTCCAATAACTCCGTATGACCAGTGTATAACCACCATATTCCACCGCAAATCACGAAAATACACGCAACTATTTTGCATACGGTAAATATATTTTGAACTTTTACGTATAATTTCACGCTGGTTAAATTAATGTACGTGATTAGGCCAAGTGCTAGGATAGCTATGAGTTTTTTTAATCTGAACATCCATTCTTCAGAAAGATTTTCTAAATATCCAGAAAACGGTTGTACACTGTACTCGGCGAATGTCAACATGATTACCGCCACTTCTGTTGGTCGTAATACCATTACGTAAACCCACGAACATATAAATGCTGGTATTTGGCCGGCATAGTGATGCAGGGGTGAAAAAGCTTCGATGAAATAAGCATATTCAGCTCCGGATCGTGGAACGACTGTACTTAATTCGGCGAACGCAAGTGCTCCCAGTAGAGATAATAAGCCACAAGAAATCCAGACGATCAGACAAAGGCCGACAGATCCTGATCTTTCGAGAGCGCTAGTGGGGGATACAAATATTCCGGAACCTAAAGAAAAAATTATTAATTGATTAAAATGATCGTAAGTTTTATTTGTAAAAACAAAATATATAAAACAAAAAAAATATGAACTCTTATCATCGTAACTTTTATCAATTTATTAAAAAAAATATAAGCAATTAGTAATATCTTCAAAAAATATTTTTTTTTTTATTATCGCGATATTGCAAGTATATTAAAACTTTAAATACCATTATTGTGATCGTTCTTACTTTTTATATCATTATTTATTTCATATTTCAGTTTTTCAAAATGTGATTATTTTTGTTCTTTATTATTAAAACAAAACTCAATTTATGTTATGTTACAAAATGATCACGTACGTAAAAAATTCTGTGTTAAGCTTTTTAATAACCAACTAAAAATATTATTTGACGTATATTATTTGATCTTAATGGCAAAAATCATCTTGTAAGTCTACATATACAGATAAATAATAAGCAAGCTATTCGCAATTAGACTGCAAAGTTTGATTAAAATTGACTAGATATACTTAAAGAAAATATCTCGTAATACTTGAGCGCGTGGGTCAACAATTAACCTTGATTAACCCCTTAATTTATAATCGTGTCAAAGTTTTCTGCATAATTACCGAAATGTTACATCACGTTTTATTTTTTATTGTGCACAGAATTCTATAGATTAATAATTAATTTCTAAAAACAATTGCGCATATTATTTACATTTGCCCCCAATTTTCATTAATTCGATTCTAACAGAATAATCTAGAGAACTATTTGAGAAATCTCATCCGATCACTTGTGCACTTTCTCGAAAAACATTCTCGATGATAAAAGTTTTATAATTAGCATGACTTTTGCTCAAAATATTTTTTTCTATCTAATATTTATTTTAATAATTTCCAGCTAAATGAAATGTATATTATTGTATATGATTATAGCTGAATGTATAATTGTACAATGAAAATGTACAATTGTCGAATGAGATTTAATCTCCCTAATGAATACAATCACTGAAAGGGTAATATAAAAAAAATACGATGTCTTGAATCTCTATTGAAGAACATAATCTGCGTAAGTATAAAGTCGAAGTTTATTCAAGCCTATGTAATAATGCAATTACATTTAAGTGTTGTTAAATCTAAATATGATACTAAGAAAGATTTCTATTGGACTTTTCTTTTTTATTTTAATACGATCAATTATCATTTATTATTAGATAATATTGTCTAAACCAAGTGTAAATATGATTTATAAAGAAACATTATCTACAAAGCATATTTTTTATGATATTATATCAATCGTATATCAAGTATTGGCAGAAAAGATCAGAATATCGTTAAAACCAATCAAGAGAGTAGTGCACGTTTTACAATATACGATTTACTAAAATTAAACAGTAGCTCTGGTTATCGTTTCTCAAATGAACTCTCAAATGAATGTAACAGTACCGATATTGACTTGCTATTATCTGCGCAAATGCAAGGACTTTCACTCGCAATAACATATTCATTGAACTAAATAATTGTGCATAAACCATTTGTGTATCGAATACATTTTATATTTACATAACTTTTAGGTCAAATATTGATAAAATATAATAGGATGATTAAAACGTTTTCACACATTTTATTTTTAAATATTGCGAAGTATTGTTAAACGTCTTTTATCATTATATAAATATATTTTCACGAGAGAATAGGTTGATAATTATCAATGAAATCCTATTTAAGTATAAGTTCATTGTTCGAACATGTTATGTTTAAGGATTAAAATTTCATTATGTAAGCATAATAAAGTGGAACATATGTGATGCTGATAATGCATTACGTATTTCTGGCCTTCGGCAATTATCTGCTGAGTTCATTAACAAGTTGAATAAAATTGATTAAAATGATATTTCGCAAAAAAATAAGTAAATAAATAAATAAATAAATAAATAAATAAATAGTGAAAAAAATAAAAAAGTAAAAGATGTAAAATCAATAATTCATGCTTGCTGACCCTGTATAACGTACTCTAACGTTATGCCGGAAGAAAACACTTGTTATTTAATATTTTTCAATTGGACTTAACTAAGATGAAATCTCGAATTGTTACATCGTGTAAAATTAATTTAACATCTGCTTTTTCAAATATTGTTTTCATACCGATCATAACAGCCACGATCATGCCCACTGCACTGAACAGGCCTAACTCTCGTTTTAGCGCAATTTTTTCATTTCCTTTTTTCTCGACTTGTTCCATTTTGCACAATATTTGATTAGAACTCTTGACAAGTAACGATTACCACGTTATTATCCAATTCACCAGTACCACGAACTTTTTTTTATTTTTGAATTCAAACGTACATCGCGCGAGGCGCACGACGCCCAACTTTAAGACCGCCTTCGATCAGGCTCTACATACAATCCGTGTAATGAAGACACGAATCGGCTTCCTCGTGCCTTAGAGCCGGATCGAAGACAGTATGACGTTATCGGAAGATGTCCAGAACGAGACTGAAGTGTTAACGGGTCAGCTAGTCGCTTATTTTTACAGGCGCACGATGGTCCCCCTGATAAGAGAGTACTTCATACCCTGATCGTTACCGATATCTTTGACAATCAGCCGGGCGGTTTAGAAGAGTTTGAAAAATTTTGCGAATACAGACGAATAAAGGCGAAAACGCAGAAATAGAAATCGTAGTTTCTAGTTAAGTACTAGATGTATTTTTACGATCAATTGATAGTTATCTTATAACTAATAAACTTATAAAAAGCGTAAAATTGACCGATCTCGTATTGAAATAAGAATTGAATATGCGTCACCTTGAAATCACTTAAATTTTGAAGTGTTATGAAGTTTTCTTACAAAAAAATATGTTTGATAAGATAATTCGCATTCCATTCGATTTTTAATAAAATAATGGCAATATTATAGAAAGAAATATCTTGTCGATTTATGTTCTTCTTTGGCTTTCTTTATATTTATGCTCTTTCACCGATGACTAATATAAGTTGATTATTTTGTATTATCCTTTGTATTATTCCTCGTTTTATCGAAAGTACATTTGGACTAAAGATAAAGCAAATTTTTGAAAAGAGTAATGAATAATGATTGCGCAAACTATGAAAGCATATTATTTATTTAAAATGAAGAAATATTATAAAAAAGAAAATTTTTTGTAATATTGTGAATTTTTTATGATTTATATTTTAAAGCTACAATATTTTCATTCATGATGT